GCCCCTCATTCGATGTCACGTCAGACAGTCTGACGTGACATCGAATGAGGGGCGGACACGTCATTGACATACCCGCCCATTGAATTATCGCGAACTGTGCCTTTAAAAGGGGTAATGGCTCTCACCCACGAGATCGCAGTACGGTAAAAGCATTTCTTCATGCTTTCATTCCTACTTGGTTCTGATCCAGACGCTAGTAGGTCAGAACAAGACAGAGTTTAAGACCAACGAACCTACTCAATTCCGACAGATTCGAAGATCAAGACAAACAAATGGAACGCATCGGAACTATTCTATCAGATATTTAGGATTGCTGATAGAGGGATTGCATAACTTGATTATTTGATATGTTCACTTTCTCTAGGCCACCTTTCGTGGTTGTATTCATACACTCGTGGTCTTCGGGACTTTTATTGTTATGCCGGATTTTTGCCGACTAGTAATAATTATTACATTGAGAAACCCGTAAATACTTTTTACAGAGCACTTCCTCCAGATTGGTTTCGGCCTCGATGATTCGTTGTCCTTTGATAGATATCCATGGAACCTGGAACAGCACAAGCACTTCGGAAAACTCACTTTCACGTTAACGACAACTCACCCAAGAGATATCGTCCGAAATTTCTCGCGCAATCGCGGCGCCGTGTGCTGCTACGAGAGTGAAGCCAATCGAAGTAGTAGCACATTTGAGAAGCCTGAAAATCCCTAACGCTCTTAACATCCGTCAGGTCGAAGTCTTCTTGAGCATTAAGCGTATCTCAGATATTTTAAATAAGCGAAGACTTAAAAGAAAGTAGGGAGAAGGGAAACAGTAACATCTATGGAACCGGTCCGTCCCACTTGGAGTTTCCCTTAACAGAGAATTGTACCCTCACCCTGAAGGCATTCATTGATTGACGAAAACTATAGGTTGGCAAGAAAATCCTGCGGGGAAAAGTAAGCCATCTCGAGTTCAATTCCAGAATTTTCCAAATGTTAGAAATATGTTAACCAGAGAGGTCAACAGCATCCCTTATCCTTTGCGCAAATCACTGATGCCTTTTGTCCAGAATTCGGGAAGTTGTGACTCGAAGAAATCATAGAGTGCCGTTTCCAGATCATATTAGGTTACAAACTATTCTTTTCACAAAGCTTGAGAAGGCGCAACACGGTAATCAAAAAGGGTAACATTCCGGGAGTAAGACTGATGAATAACCTGGAACCGAGCGGGGGCGGTGAATTTTTAATGGGTCCGTAGAACGAAACTTTGACGAGTGTTGTCGTTCTGTACATGGGTACTTCAGTAAAGGTTTCCTTCTCCGAAAGCATTAGTCATATGCTAGGGTTCATAAGAATAAGCGGCAGCTGTGATTGTATAGTCTGCGGTTACCAACCCATAGTGAATTGGTGTTTTCGATCCTCACAAAACTATAAGACAAAGCTTGCGTTGCTTTGAATGCTAGGCTACAGAGAAGCGCTGCAACCTATTTTGACCGTTGATCAGTGAACAGTTTTAGCAAAGAACAGTGCTTTCAGTCAGCAAGTAGGTCGCTGTTAATTTCAGCCGCTACACTTACGTTTTCACCTTAAAGTACCTAGAAAAAGATGGTGTTACGAATCACTTCATGTCCAACTATTCATGGCAATACTGCAAAAGCTCTCATGCTTGTTTACTCACGTGTTGATGCTCGGGAAATGTCCTAGAAGTTTATCGTGTTCACTTTGTTTATACGAAATTTTGAACGCTCCAAACTTTTGTCGTAGAACTTTCTTGCCAATCTGTTACTCAAATAAATGAGCAGGAGGTTTCCTCCTTACTTCAAGCCTGAGCGCTTTCAGACTAGTACCACATCAAAAAAATTAACCCCAACGAAGCGAAATGGTTTTCTATTTTGGATGGGTATCGATGAGATTTGGTCACAGCTGTAATAGAGTTGTGGCATATTACTGCCTATTTCTGACCCACAGTCAAACATTGCTCTGAGAACATCCTGAATCTTCTAATAGGGACAACATCGACGAACTACTCATAAATACTGGTGCTGGAGCTTAAAGATTTCGAACCCACAAATTTCAGATCAGTCTTATGCAACTTGTCCTTAAATGGCAGAAATCGGTCTCCTAGCAATTCTCAATTTCGCATTGCAAAATTCATTCTTCTTCAGCCCTCTTTCGTTCATCCGGAATGATCTTAGCTGCTTCCACTCCACTGTACTACCGCTCGACATTAGAGAACATAGTGCTAACAGCAATGTCACGTAACTTTCCATATTGTTGAGTTAATAAGCAGTGAGAAGCGATAATCCAATGCCCAAAATCGTACCTATCGCTGTCCTTCCCACTGAATTTTCCTTCAATACATTCAGAATAAGCCTCTTGGAAGTCGCTATTACCTTGAACACAAGCCACTGAAAGTTCAAGATCCAATCAGAAACAGGAAAAGGCGTTGGGTCAACAAGTCCTAAACGTACCGGTCTCTAAAGCATTATCTGGGTAGAACTGTAGAAGGCATGCCTGGAGTGCATTTTTACTACATTCCTCTGGTCCGTGTTGGCAACTGCATCTTGAATAAAGAAGGTTCAGTGACGGCAAAATAGAAAGGATCATAAGGTCGACTGGCCATTTTTTAACTCTCCAAACATGGTGGGATCTGCTAGTTGGGGTTGCCCTTCGTAACAACTTTTCTTCCGGAATGTGCACTACAGAACCCATAAGACAAGAGTATCATCAAATCAGTACAGCGCAAATTGAAATATATACATAATTAATTACTAGCAATTCGTCGCCCAACCGACTTTCACTTGCAACCTGAGAATCGCTCCACCACCTAATGAGCTCAAGTAATGACTGGTGATGGCACCAGAACCTCAGTAAAATAATTTCGTTTTTAACTATCGGACGAATGAATCGATTGTTTAGGATTGCAGTTCCTCATTGGGACTACTGTTTTATTCCTGCTACGGGTGGTATGGAGTAGTTTCCCTTCATTTGCGCAATAACGACTTAGGCTTACTCAAAGGTACAGCTCACCATGAAAGGGTATCTAATTCCAGACGTAATGGAAGTGATAGTCTCGAAGAGTGCGAGAGCGGCGAAGAAAAGCGGAAATCAGCGTGTTGTTTGAATATAAGGCTTTAAAAAAGAAATCAAATCGAGGCCTAAACGAGGATGTAACGACAGAATTTGCTTGAAAGGGTATTTGGACGGGCTGTTCAAACGTGCGCGCAAAATGCAAAATATGGCGTCTTAGTGTGAATGGTCATGCTCTACAACCCCCACAACGCCGTGAGAACTCGTCCGCTTATGGGTGTGTGCGCCAGTTTTGGTGCCCTCATTAACGCCCGAACTTAGCCGTTTTTCGACCTCACAGCGCCCCTTGCGCCATCCTCAGGGGTCACAGGTTCATCCGGGGGAAATAGTTTCAGAAACAATTTTGTACAGGAATTGTGCATTTAGGAGCAATACCGAATCCCACTGCAGGTCACCCATTTATGCGGTTCTCTGTCCTGACTCAAATCAAGCACAGGCGGTTTAGAGTATTGAACAAGACTTCCTGGAAGGACGGGGTCATGAAAATACAAGTAGCACTGCAGGGCATTATGGAAATCTTGCGCCCAAATGCCTGTCTTTTGAAAGAGCTTGGGAAGCTTCCTGAATTCTTTCTTCATGGACTCAATTCAATGAACTCGATTCCTATCTTTACTAGCAAGATTTTGGCATGTGATGCCTCTCAGACCATATTGCCAGAGCCCAAGCTTAGAGACAGCTGGGTTCCGAAGCCTTTTTTCTTTGCAATTTTATCGCTCCCTATAGTTAATCAAAGATGTGACGCAATGCCTGTAATAACGTCGATATCAGTTCCCATTTGTATGCTGGTGAAGTTATTCGATGGAACTGCCATCAGTAAGCGATCGATCGACAATAAAGACAACATAATTTTTTCCAGCAGCCGTTGGAACGTTCATGGCTTCTAAGTTATGAGTAATAAGTTTCTAGTATGGTGAACCGTTACCTCATTCCGTTTCTGCCCATACTGCAGAAGGTATAGGCGGTTGGCCCGAATGGGTGATAGTTGATTTTGATATCAGATCGATATTTGCGATAGACAGGCATCAGCTGTGTCATGAAGAAACTGTAAAATAAGATGATTTACCTCCAACGCAATGCTCACGATAAATGCGTGTTTGTATATATGTAGAAGCAAGAAACCTACTCATGGTAGAAAAAAGACCAAGTCACTGGGGAGACAATCTGCGACAGTTCCGCGGTACATTAGGGGTAGCCTGAGGAGCTGCTAAATACGTCTCACGAACCACTTTTTATCTGATCTACCCCTTTAAAATGGCTCTACGAAGAAGCAGTGAGCAAAAACTAGTACGCGTAGGCGCGTATTAGTAGTAGTTGGAAGCACACCGCATTTGCGATGCGAAGGGGTAAAGGCATTTGCCCACTTATTTGGAGCAGCCATTGTACCATATGCGGTGAACCCATCCAACGGCCAAGAACAACCGAAAATGAAGAGATTCCATTTAGTGATTTTCGATAGGTTGTTTGGTTTTTTCTTTACTGAACCAGAGAAGTGCAACCGCTCGCCCATTCCTCGACTTCGCCAAATTTCGCAAAACTGCTGGGAATGAAAGGTAAAATTTGGTCGGAAAAGGTTCGCCGCCTTGCCAAGTCACGGACTTAAATTCGATGATGGATGACCGACTTAAAAAAGGGCGTGCACATTTGTGTAAAGCTGCTGAATCCGCAAATTACTAGTTGGACACATGCAACAGCTACAGAAGATCAGAAACTATCCCTCTCAACTCAGCACTGAAAGCCGTGGAGTTTGGAGATTTTATTTGACCACTCACTCTCTACTGGATTCGGGGAGCCCAGTTGTAGGCTTCCCTATACAGGTTTGAACTTGATGCTCTAATGAAGTACGCTTTTCAAAAACTCGCTATGATTGAAGGCTAGAGGGAAAAGTTTGGTCTGGCGACAAGCCTATGTTCACGTTCTTGAGCATCGATGTGTGATTTGGCGCGGAGTACTGTAAGAAGGGATAACAATTTTCATTCAATTTTTAACCTCTTCATTGCGCTCAACTGTCAATTTTGACAGTTGAGCGCAATGAAGAGGTTAAAAACTATTAGGATGTTTAGGTCTGTGCAACCTTAATGAATTTTTCGTACTCCACAAAAATTTGGTAAAGCTCATTCACAAAGATATTTAACCTAGGCAATGACCCTTTCTTCTCCTCAAAACACCGTTTAGAAATTTTGATTTTCCAATTTATAAGTGACCTTGACCGTTATACCCTCGACTTTTTTCATTCCGAAGAACCAACTGTTTTCAAGGTAATTCGAACCTTCCAAAGTGAATGCTATTTGAAAAATTGATCTATCCCTCGAAGGGAAGCTTTTGACTTCACAACTTGAAGGATCCAATCGCACATCCGCAAAAAATTTCGCCTTTGACCCGCTTGGCCATTTGAAAGATTATCGAATCCATTTGCATATATGTTTGGAGTTCGCGAAAAAATCAACGATGATGATCATGCTAAGCTTCTTTATAATTCAGGACCCGTTGAAAGTTTATGTAATTCAATGAATTGCGAGCATGTGTAATTATTTTGATAGTCCAGTTTTTCCTAGAACGACCCATCATAGCTTAATTCTCCAAAAAGCTCTATCCGAGCGCTTGAGAGACAATGTTTTAAACCCGTTAACTACTTCGGAATCTCTGTGATTATGAGTAGGAGGCAAATGCTTTGCGCCTACTGAATCACTAATCAACGTCCTAGGCATTATCATGAATCCTCAAAGCACCAGGCGCATCTTGCACGTAAGTCGGCCCCACTTATGCTCAAATACTGTAAAGGCGACGAACTGCAATGGTTACTGAAGAGTCCCTCATTCGAAATAGATGCTGAGTAGTAGTGCCGTAGTGTGAAACGGTCTTACCGTGTTGTGTCCGGGCACATTGACTCTCCAACAATGTCTATGACGACTGAAGCGAGACTACTTGACGACATATAAAGCAGGAAGAAGGACACAATGAACACCATCTGAAAGAGTTGCAGAAACAATAGATAGGATAGCCCTGTACACATATTGCTATCCAACGTACAAGTA